TGATCTGTTGCCGGCACTCACGAGGGCCGTAACAATGGGGTGGGCGTATGGGTGGAAATAGGCTATCTCTCGCGTTAGCAGCGTTTGCACTCAGCACGTTTGTAAGCTGTGAGATTACATATCTCGTCGTTGAGAAACTTTGCAGAATATAAATCAACACGGCTATTTTGATCAGCAAATCCGTCAGTTGATATTCCTTATGGTTTCCGGATAGGTGATTGCGTTGTACAATTTGTCGTTTGCATGGTTGCGTGCGGTTACAGGGAATCGACTTCACGTCTTTGTTTGATCCTTGCCTCAGGGAACAAAAATATTCCCCTCTCGGCTTTGTGAATAGTGTTTATGCTTTGGGCTAGAGCAGTTTGCCTTTGGTATACTTTCTTTTGTTTTTCATGCGTCTCCAGCAAGATACCAATGAATGTTTGGGAGGTACCCCAGAAAATTTATACAGCAACACCGGCACGTAAAATGTCAAGTTCAAAATTAGCAAATACTGATAAATGGCATGCGATCACACGGAAAAGTAATTAATGCGTACTGTTTTCTGACACACAAGGTCATCCTCAGCATTCAGTCATGAACGGCGCTGGCTCGGTAACGTACGTGCAATTCCCTCTCATCGTTACAATCGTCATAAATTAACGCGGTCGGGGCGACCTATGCTAGGTTGACTAATTTTGTTACCTTCCAAAAAGAAAGCCGGTGACGGTAACAGCACCCAAGACTCTGCGGCACTGTCTCTGCACTGACCGCAGTGGCGCAACTAAGTTTGCACTGCTGACGTGTGTATGATAGTTCACTTTAGCTGGTTATCAACAGACCATCTGCCATGTCCTTCGGTGGCTGCTTTTGTGCCACTGCTGGCTTATCTCTACATTTCGTCACGTGATGCGAACCCAAAGTACCGGCTAACATGTCCGAATGCATGTTTTCATATCGCTGAATAATGCGAGTTGTGACAAAACCAGAGAAAGCGATGTGAATAGCTAAAAGGTAACGGGAGGTTAATGACGCCCGGCAAACTTAAAACGCGTCAGTCCCTCGTAGCATGCGTAACACAGGGTATCCGGCAGAAAAGTCTGATAAACCATGGCCGTAGCTGGGAAATTATATGGTAAAACGTAGTTTGTTATACCAATGGATGCTGGTAACTGATGCAACATACATGCTTATTTGAAACTTGAGAGTCACAAATGCAACACGGCAGCGTACAGAACTGCACAGAATGGCAGCAAAGTTAACTGGTGTGCAATAGTGCTTGATTTATTGAACTTGGCTTGGCTATCTATTCGTGCGCATATTTCTAAGCGAAATGATGCTCACGAACAGAAGCAGCCATTTCCATTATTGTATTATTGGCATCTGCAGCACAGCTCTGGTAGCCGTATCCTTTCGCATATCCGTAAGTTGTTTGGTGCATTAGCGAGGAATATCATTCGCATAGATAAGACAGCAGTATTAGCCTTATTCTTCGGATAAAAACCGGGAGAATGGAGATATAGTTGGGTTGATATTTCGGCAATATATAATAGCTGTCGATACATATAATAGCTGTATACGACAACAACATGTCGAAACAATAGCTGAAGTCTATTGTTTTAATAGACTTTTACCTCTGCTATTGTTTCAATAAATGCATGTTGTCGAGATATCAACCCAACTATATCTCCACTATACACACACATACACACACACACACACACACACACACACACACACACACACACACACACACACACACACACACACACACACACACACACACCACACACACAGACACAGACACACACACACACACACACACACACACACACATATATATATATATATATATATATATATATATATATATATATATATATATATATATATATATATATATATATATATCTCTCTCTCTCTCTCTCTCTCTCTCTCTCTCTCTCTCTCTCTCTTTCTCCACTATATATATATATATATATATATATATATATATATATATATATATATCTATATCTATATCTATATATATATATGTATATATATATACATATATATATATATATATATATCCTGTTTTTTTTTTGTCCGAGGAATAAGGCTAATACTACTGTCTTATCTTTCGCATATCCATTCACCTTTAGCGAAGATCACGCCACATTCCTGCGATTTTGTAAGAACTTCTATGCAGCAAACAGCTAGTAAAAGCCTGTCAACGCTCAAAGTAAAAAATCCGGCGATAAAGACGGCACTAAGCGAGGGTCAACCCGTCTGTCAGCAGTCCGCCCCTCCCACTTGCCAGGCCGTCCGCCAATGGTACCTGGGGGGGGGGGGGCGGGGCTGCGGGTACCACAGTCGGTCCCCTTGCCCCTCTCAGCCGCCACTCCCGAACTCCGGAGGCAGTAAAATTAGACGAAGCCTGGCCGCCGGCCGGCCGGCTATATTTGGCGTCGGCGTGCCAGCCACGGGACCGAGCTGCCGCCGGCGACGACACGCGATCCCAGCCGGCTGCGATGCGCGCGCAGCCGTCACTCCATCAGCCGACGCTGTCCCACGCTGGCCTCCTCTGAAGAGTCGGCGGCGGCCAAGCTTGGAAAGGCCGGACGGAAGGTGCTCTAAAGGAGGTCTGACGTCCGGATGACCTGTTAACTGACGGAAAAATTTGCTCACTCGCATGCCGTTATGAAAAGGAAATAATGGCCAATGGGATCACGTAGGTCAGTAGGTCACACCTGGGTAAGATTTACAGCGTTGTTCAAAACAACTGTACGCTTCCAACCAGGTAAATAATCTCAAATAAAGAAGAAATTAGTGCGAGCTAAGAACGTGCGCTAATTGCCACTTGTGGGAAGACCAACAATTATTATTTCAGATTATTTATATTGGCCAAAGACAACACGCTGGTGACATTGACATACTGCGGTGATTCTGCTGCCCTGAGTCATCACCAGTCTGCCTTGATGAAGAGTGCTGGCTGGGCTACGGCATAAATCAGCTATTTTCGGCGCCAGTCTTGTGAGCTGCAGCGCTTCCAAGGACTACAACAAGCCTGTCCGTGACAAACAGCGTCACTGGCACTCCAAATCCTGTGTCCCACCCAGCCGCTGCTTGATGCTTAGGCCCATCAGCAGCACAATGGATCTAGCGTGTCTGCTGTGCTGGTGGACTTGCCGGACACTCGAGCTTGCTGCGTATTGACGAGGCTTCAAAAGAGGCTTGATGACAGGTGCCCAACACAGACTCTGTGTCTTCTCCGCAGGCTGACGACAAGGAGAAGAAGAAGAAGAAGAAGAAGAAGGAGACCGAGGAGGCGCCGGCTGCCGAGCCCGCTCCCGCCCCCGCCCCTGAGCCGCCCGCGCCCAAGCCCGCCTCCACCAAACGGGCCAGCGTGAGTATCTGCCGGGAGCTGAGCGGCACCTGGCCGGGCAGACGCGGCCGGGCCAGCTGAGCGGCACCTGGCCTGACAGACGCGGCGGCCGCTGGCGGAAAACACGCCCTACACGTGTAGCCACGACAGCCGATTGGCAAACTGTTCTCTGATGAGATAGAAGGCACGGGAGAAATGTTGTCACCGCTCTGCTGAACTGTCGACTGCGTGCTTTACAGCGAGGTTGCTGCCGGGGCAATGTTTTTCATTAAAAGCGTCTTCCGTCTTCGCAAAACAAGCAATGAGCGAGCTATACCTGACCTTAGTTGCTCCATTCACACTCGCATCTGACGATCACTGCATGCCTCACAGGGCTCGAAGAGATCCAGCAAGAAGGCCGGAAGCAGTGTGTTCTCCTGCTTCTCCCAGCAGCAGGTCAATGAGTTCAAGGAGGGATTCCAGCTGATGGACGCCGACAAAGACGGCATCCTTAACAAGAGCGACATCCGGAGCTCCTTTGACATCATCGGCAGGATCGTCTCCGACAAGGAGGTAGATGAGATGCTGAACGACGCACCCGGCCCCATCAACTTCACCATGCTGCTTTCGATGTTTGCTAGCCGGCAGTCCGGCGAGGCCGACGACGATGACGTCATCGTAAACGCCTTCAAGGCCTTCGACGACGGCGACGGCACCATCAACAGCGACGGCTTCCGGCACTCGTTGATGACGTGGGGCGAAAAGTTCACCGCGCAGGAGGTGGACGAGGCGTTCGAGCAGTTCGACATTGACGACGATGGCAAGATCGACCTGGGCGGCGTGCTCGAGTTGCTGGTCGGTGGCAAGAAGGAGGAGGAGGCCGAGGCAGCCTAGGCCGGTAAGCCGTCGCACTGTGGTGCGTGCAGCGGTCGGTCGGTCCGTCGGTCGGTACAGCGCACGTCAAACCAGCTGAGATGACCCATGTATGCTGATCGATCATCGCACTTGCGTCCGATCGATACTGATGTTGACAGCGCAACCGTGAACGTTCATCTACCGCGAGAAACCGGTACTACATAACTCGGCGCACTGCATAACTCAGGACCCCCTAACGCCATCTGTTTGCTGCTTCAGGTGCACAACATTTCCATTCTTCCGGTGTGACGCCTGGGCGCAACCCTCTGCACTGCACATTCACCCACACCGACCGACCCTCCGAGAGCGGCATGACGCCACCTGTCTGACGTCATCAGACGTCATCTGTCTCGTCCGGCCAATCACCGGGCGGCAGCCCTCCGCCGGCAGCTACAGCTGTATGATTGTGAACAACGCGCGCTTGGATCAAGATTCACAGTGTAAACTTCTCTGTCTGCTCTAAATCGGCATAGAGGGTTACACCCCTTTCGACCGGAGTCCGTTTCGGTCGCGACTGACGTGGTAGTATGGCTTTGTTGATGAACTTGTTAAATTTGTGGTAAAATATACTGTGGATCAGGCACTGGAGCCTTGAATCGGTGCTCAAGGCTCCGTGTCTTATTGAATGTATAATACGGGCCTGTATTATAAATTCAAAAAATAATGCGTGCGTTTCTTTTGCGGTGACATAACTGAAATGTTAGGTTATGAAAAGGATGATACGTACCATCGCAGACCTCCTTCGCAGAAAGCCATGATAGCCAGGTTTTAGGGTTTATTTTGTGATTTGGTCACAATATTTACACACGCTGCACGGGGCGCACAGGTCATGAAACTAGCAACAACGAACAGCAGGCTATACTTCATGGGAATACTTGATCGTCCGCCACTCCAGCAGAGGAGTATGATGGCCACAATTCCATTACTCCATTCACAAAGTATGGTAACAATAAATAGATATGATGGCGTCGCGATGGAAACGAGGAAGTCGTTCGTTCTTCAGCAAGTAAAACGTTGAGCATAGCGTGGCAATCACACATTATTGCATTCGCGCTTTCACCTCATGTCTACATCATTCGCGCAGCATTCACAAACTTCAAACACGCAGCGCCGCTCTGAAATTTGGAATGTCTACCCTAGACGGAATGAACTCTCTCGCGACATCTACTGCTCGATCCAGCGCTCGAGACGCCGGTTCGTTCGGTGCCAAGTTCCTGGCCCTCTCGGGAGCTCACGTCCCTGCTCGCTGTCGCCCAGAGTCGAAGGGCAATGCAGCAGAGCTTAATTTTACTCCGCTGAAACGCGGTCGATCAGAGCTCTCCTGAGCCGGAGGTGCCCTCGCCAGCAGGAGGACGTCAGCGAAGGATGTTTGAAGCTAATTGTAGCTTAGTTGCAGTTCGGCGACGGGCATTTCACTGAAAAAGTCAGGCACTGTAAGTACTGGAAATCAGTCGTGGAACATATATCAAAGCTAGAAGAGCGTTAGGGTCTCGAGTCTTAGGAAGGCCGAGGCAGGTCTAATGCCGTCTTTAATGTTACCTACGGCAAACTAGGTCATTTTAGTAGTTTTTCAAATTAAACTCGTGTAGCCTTTCAAATAAGCTCGCATATCCAAAACTGCTGCGGGGCACAGCAGCCACCAAGCTTATCTTGCAGGGTTTCCGCGCCCTGCATATGAACTGGTTATTACAGATTAACCCAATAATCTCTGAGCATAAGAAGTCACACAACTTTCAATGTTGATAGCACTTCGCTAGGGCCTGACAGCCACCAGCCAGCCGAGGCCGTCTGCGGCGGCAAACGCTGTCAGCGCCACCTATAGTGGCCTACTCACCGCAGTGTCCGAGCCGGTAGGCGTGGCCTTCCGGGCACTTGTGGCAGCAGAGCGACGCCATCGCCTTGTTGCGCTTGCCCTTGCGCTGCCGGATGGGCAGCACCAGCTCAATGTTGTCGTAGTCGATGAGGGTCATGAAGGCGTTGTCCTCGGTGACGGTGCTGAGCGCCTCGCTGACGATGTCGACGAAGCCCTCCTGGTCGGTGATGTTGTAGACGGGCGTGTCGATGGTGAGCACCACGTCCATCAGAGGGCGGCCGTCGTTGTCCAGCTGTCGACAGACGTCGGCTGTTATACAGCCTGCCGTGACATACCGCACGGTTTGTTGACGGCCGGGGCATACCACACTGTGTGTGACAGCTGGGACACGCGCACAAGAGGACAACAACGTACCAACAACGGGGACACGTATACAGCAGGAAAGGCACGTACCAACATTATTTAATGGGTACTGGTGTTTAGTGACTGAGTGATGGTAAGAACCAAGAATTTACGAAAACATTCATAAGCCGCGGTTGGGGTTTAAACGGTCAGTAAACGGCATTAACGATGTGCATCTGACCATGCAAAAATATTTTTCCTCTCCATTTTGTGAGCGAGCGGGCGTCAGTGCCTGTGGCGCGCGCCCTTTCCCTGCCAGGGGAGCTCACCGATGCCTTGGTGGAGAGGTCGGAGACACCGCACTCCTCCGGGTACGGGCAGAAGATGTCGTTGTACTTGTAGACGAGGCCGTCGAACTGGTGCTGTAGCGACTCAATCGACTCCCTCTGGTACGTGATCTTGTACTGCAGGTTCGCAGAGTACACCGGCACGATCTCTGCCCGGAGACAACAACATCCGTTTGGCATGCTGGACTGTTAAGGCAGCTGATTTTACAGACTGACCGCCATGGTAGCTTCAGCGAATTCTTTGGGAATACTGTGGCGTCTTGCGACGACAAAGACGCTGGCATGACAATGAATGCATGAAAACATCATACGTGAGTGACATGTGTGACCACAGATTATCCAGTTCCTAGTGCGCTGACGTACTTCCTGATTCAAGAGACCCTTACCTCGCTACCACTCACACCCCTCACGCTGCACTACAGCAGTCCGCGCCAAATCTCTGCAACACCCCCACCCGTCCGCTGAGGCGCCCTTTGGTCGTAGCGGACCCGGCTGTTGCCCACGGCGCTGCAGGCGCGCCAGGCGACTCACGGTAGCACTCGGGGGCCGTGCTGTCCGGACTCCACTGGCCGCCGGCGCCGCACGAGTACTTCTTAGCCGGCGGGTCGAAGAATCCGTAGCCCTCCTCGCACTGGGCCTGGCACATAGAGCCCTTGCTCCAGAGCACCTGGTTGTTGCAGTCGCCGTTGGCGTTGACCTCGGAGACGCCCCGGCACAGCGTGGTTGTGTGCAGCGGCGCCACGAAGTTGGGGCACGTCTCCACGTCTGGCGGGCACGGACACGTCTTAACGTGTGCAGCGGCGCGCGGCGAGGGAGGTCAGTGTATAGGCGGGAGCGAGGGCGGGCAAACTACCCTCTTGCCACCCGACGGTCTGGGTTGTGATACGGTTCGAGTCACGGCTGATGCATCCTCTACCGTCGCATTTTCACAGAAGGTCAAGGCTTGCAATACATTGAGCCACTTAATGAAACAGTAGTCAGCCTGTTATTTGTAGGAATGATTCAAACTGCTGACAACTTCGAAGCCCTGCACGGACGTGAGTTTCCCATGATGAGGCGCGTGGTCGGGTGACTCAAAGCTCCCCCGCGGGGTGTCGCCCCAGACGCCGACCCTCGCGCCGCCGGTGTAGATGGCGCTGCCCACTCACCGACGGCCTGGTTGACGGTGGCGGCCGGCCCCAGCTGCGAGTCCTCCAGTACAGCGGCCACTGAGAACGTGTAGTCGACGTTGGGCTTGATGCAGTAGTCGCAGACGGCCGGGTTCATGTCGTACGTGCACTGCTGCTCGTCACACTGCGGGGAAGCAGAGACAACGCCGGCTCAGCGCCACGCTCGGCTCGACAATGTGACAACCGTGCTGTCCGGAGCCGGCTCTAGCAGTGTGGGGTCGGCTCCCGGGCAAGCGAAAGCGGCACTGTCACGCCTGCACACTGAGCTTCAGTCGCCCAGCACTTCAAAGGAGCATCATGTCAGGAAAGGGGTAATGGGAGGATGCTGTGTGCAGGCATCATGCATTGAGAGCTGTACTGAAAATAATAGAAATGCAACATGCCAGGAGACACTGGTTAAATAACGTTATCAAGCAAGCATTGCCTGCTTTGAAAGCAAGCATTGTCAATAATTGTTTGATGCAGTGTTTAACCAGCGCGTCCTGGTGCACTGAAAGTTCATTATTTTCAATACGAGAAGTCTCAGTCCCAGCTTATAATTTCGAAAAACCAACGGAGCTCCATGTCTTTCCTGTCGACACCAGGCAGCGCACTTGGGGCTGGCCTGGCTGACCAGCCCGGCCTGCGCTGGGCATCAGTCAGCCGCGTCTGTCAGAGCCGGCCTTCCTAGGGAGCGCCGCGGTCGGCCTGCGCTGGGTATCAGTCAGCCGCGTCTGTCAGAGCCGGCCTTCCTAGGAAGCGCCGCGGTCGGCCTGCGCTGGGCGTCAGCCAGCCGTGGCCGTCAGAGCCGGCCTTCCTAGGGAGCGCCGCGGTCGGCCTGCGCTGGGCGTCAGCCAGCCGCGGCCGTCAGAGTCGTCTTTCCCGGGGAGTGGTCGGTCGGCCTGCCGCCTCACCTTGATCTCGGTGTCGTAGCTGGTGGTTCCGCCGAGAACCACCATGATGTAGGAGCTGAGATCGCCCTCGCAGGCCGGCCGGTCCCACGTGATCCGGATCCATGAGACCAGCTCCGAGACGCGCAGGTTGTTAGGCTTGCTCGCCTCCAAATTGTCGGCTGCAGCAGCACACACGGGTCACACACTTGGCTCACAGCCCAGGTCTGGCCAAATTCCGACCCTTGAGCTCATACAATGACCATCAGGGTCGTTGACTTAGACAATGGCTCATTAGCGAGATAGATGATTAGAAGCAGCAGCAGTCCTATAATCAATACAGGCCACAGTGATTGGTGATCGCAGAAGAGCGAGAAACAACAACGAAACAATTGCAAACACATCACCCGCCGCCAGATATGGTTCAGAATGAATGCAGCCGTCACAGAAAACTCAACCCTCCAACGCTTTTATCAGCATAGCACACCAATCGCATAACAATGAGTCGGTTATAAACCGGAAAAGATCATCTAAATGGTGTCACATTCAAAAGTTTTTTAAACCAAGCGGAGTATCACTTTTTGTTTCGGCCAATGTCATATAAACTGTGCGGTCATCGCCAGAGGCATAGGCTTCACGAGTCTCACGCCGGGCTGCTTGCTGCGCCTTTGAACGGTAGCATACTACGTCTCTCGCTGTTGCCGACGTAACAGTTCCGCATGAAGAATGTTACACAAGCGCCGAGACACTCCACCGCGGCTCCCACACCAGCCGAGGTAATTAACGACGCGTAATTGCCGCCAGTGAAAGTGTTCGTCACTGATATACACTTCGCTACAGCAACAACTCCCACTCTGGGAAAATAGGGCGAGGCGGCAGCTGCTCAGGCCTCGTCATGTCCGCTTCTTCTTCCTGCATGTGAGCCGCTGAGAGAGAGGAAGAGACAGTGGGCGGCCGGCGTCGTCGGTCAGGCGACGGTGCTGCCTCTAGCGGCGGCCAGATCAAGCACGCCGTCATGTCGTACGTCTCGCCGTCTGGCGTACCGCTCTTCTGGCAGATAAAGTACTGCAGCCGGTGATCCCCCGGGAACGCCTGAATCTTGTACGGGAACTGCTCTTTGCCGTCCAGCAACGCCGCCACCGACGCGCCGGCCAGGCTCGGGATGCTGTTCCACTCGTTGATGGTGTTGGAGACGGACCAGTCGCAGAACATGTTGCTCGTGCATCGCTCGCCGTCAGCGTACCGCCAGCGCGACGGCTCGACACAGTCGACGCTGCGAACAGAGTGGTGAGGACGCTCAGGCGAACTCGCGAGCGACGCTACGGTGAGGTGCAGATGCACATGTCAGTGTTCGTACTCTCCGTGCGAACCGAACTACGAACAGATCAACTTTAAACAAATATAGTAGTGGAAACGACGGCAAGCAGGTTTTGACTGCAAAGCCAATCGCCCAATAAAACGGTGAAATCGCGAGTTTCGTGTGTCATTTGCCCCGGTATCGCTTCAAACTGGTCTCCAGAAACAGACCTCAACTGCAACGTGTTCAGTGCGTGGGGCTGTACAGAGTTGGCGAGCTTTATTCAGTTCGCAGCACTTAGCGCCGCTAGAACGATCGCCGATCGGCCGATTTCACAAAGCCGCGCAGCGCCGGTGCGCTGGCGTAATCAGCGCCGGAGGCGGCGCCGCTTCCGCCGCTCGGGTACGGACGTCGTTTCACCGGCGGGTACGGGCGCGCAGGGCTCGCGCCGATCAGGCGGCGCGTCTCCGGTCGCTAACCCAAATGGCGGCACTTTCTCCGGCTGAGCTGCCCGCAGGCCGTCGAGGTGGCCGCCGACGGCACCCGGTCGCTCGTGATCTGATTATCAGGGATTGGGAGGAAAGCCGGGCGACAGATCGGACCCTGCCAGCGCCCGCAGCGGCTGGGGCCCGGGGCGTGCGCTGGTGGGGCGCCGGAGGCGGGCTCGGTGCCTGTTATGGCAGATGGTTCAACCATCATGCAGGCAAGCAGAGAGTTTTCTTTCTTTCAGGGGGTGTCTCATGTTGCTCTCAGAAATTCAAGATTAAAAGTCTGTTGAGTTTCAAATGAGTCTCAAAGTGTAAATTTGCAGACTAAAGGGTCATCAATTCTTGGCTATCGGTATCAATCATAAGCGCATGGCAGCAGCAACCCGCTGCTGTGCGCTGGCTCATTCTGACCTCAACATGTCTCCGGGTCTCAGCATGTCTCACGGACACCGGCGCCAGTGAAAACTCGCTCGACGGCACGTTCCTCCAGCAACGACATGCCAACAAGTGTCCGAGCCCGCGCGACCCACTCCGGCCACCCCGAAAATGGCATATCACCGATTTCATCTGGTGAGAAGCCCATTGACCGCGTTCGTGGCACGCATCTCTGAGGGGCAGCGAGCGACGGGTCGACGCCGGAGTCGACCGCAGGAGGTCGCTCGTCTGTGACCTCCTGCGCAGCTGGGAATGGGACCAGGCGACTTGGCCGCCGCCCGCCTCCGTGAAGGCAAGCCCTTCGCGCGCTTTCGCCGACCTAACGCGCGGAAGCGACGGGCGGTAACCGCACTCTTCCCTCCTGACACGCTGTTACTGGGCCTCTCGCACGTGCGCGCCGCACGGGTCACGCGGCGCGTGCCGCACACGACCGCCGCGCACGGCCCGTGCTGTGCGCGGCCCCGGCCGTGCGTGGCTGGTGTGGGGCGCGTGGTGTGGTACTGCGCCGCGGCCACCTGGGTCACGACCGATCGGGCCGCGTGAGAAAACTGATAACCACTCGCGCACGTAACACCCACAGTAACAGAGCCGCAGAATATTGGGTAATACGCAGTCACGTGGCAGTGAGGGAGGCACGCTTTTTTAACGTAAGATGCAACAATTAACTGGTAAGTGTCATGATGTGAATCTACGTCACGTGTGTTGAACGAAGTGCTGGGTGCTGCTAAGAAATGAACAGAGACTTACCCGCAAAACATGCCAATGAATGCCCTCCGTGTTTGGATGTCTTGCGCTTCTGTAATGCCCTCGCCCAATACCCTAAGATTCTCATACTCTTTTGTCGTCTTCGGAGAAGCCAGCAAGGCTTTTTCCTGGGAACGAAAAACAACTCACTTCAGTCTGCCGTTCTGGGTCAAAAGATGTAGCGTCAGAGAATCGGGGACATACTGACATGCAACCATTAGACTCCGGCTCAGAGGAAACAATGCAGACATTGCTAAACCAGCTCTTGCGTCGCCAGCGCCGCTGCCGGTCGGGTTGCATCAGCCGGATTGTACAAAGGCGCTCTCCAGCGGCACCATAAGCCACCGATGGGTTTCAGCGAGCCGTGCCTTGGAAAGAAAAGAAATGGAACTCACCCTTCTGCAGGCTGCTATTGCCTGGTTATAGTTTAATGGAGAGTCGGCATATGCCAATTTGTAGCATAATTCTCCAAATTTAATATATCCGGGGTCACATTGTCCTGAAAATAATGCAACGGCCGTTAGCAGAGGACACTTGAGTAGATAACAAAACACAACAGGAATCTATATACACTCACGCATTATTTGCTTTGCGCCCCCAATGCTGCAGCAATGGCACTACACGACAAGTTACGTTAACCATGCGACACTTAAGATTGTGTTGCATTGGTTTTGTAATTGGAAATCAAACAACCACTCGTAAATCACCACAACAAATTATTATAAGGAATCAATGTTCATGCAGCTGAAGCAAGAGCGATGCTATTTTGAAGAAATACGTGCATTCTGTTAATGTTTAATTTCTTTGTGCACCATATAGCATGTAGAGGATATGTCATACGCATGACTTCAAAGTAGCTCAGTATCAGCCATATAGTCTTGGTTGCGCCTGTGACGCAAGGTTCGGTACATATGCAGGCTATATGCAAGCGACTGTGAAGAAAAATGTAGAAAGGCGGAGAAAGCGCTGAAATGGCACACAAAGAGTGGACGAGAGCCACCACCAAAACCACCCGGCAGCAGGAGAAGGTTCATATTTTGTCCGCAGCACCACCGCCCGTTGGTCGCTGTTATGGGTCGAAGCGTTAGCTGTGTGTGCCTCCCACGACCACGACAGAGCTGCAGAGGAGCGTCCCGATGTGGGCTGAGGCAGTGAGCCCAATGTGACCACAGAAAGCCGAGGTCCCGCCCGGAGCAGCCCGAGGGGCGGCCCCGCAGCCCGGACTCCCGCACCTCCTCCGCCCGCCGCGCGCGCGCGCCCGTCGTCTCCACTTACGCGTCGTCTCGGTCGGTCGGCTTCAGCGTCTCACACACACAGGGTCGCGTCTCTGTCGGGGGAGCCATGCCGCTACGACGGGCCGACGCCGGCGGCGGCCCTGAAAGGAGGCGACGCGCCACGGCCGCGCCCCACGCTCATGCCCGGTTAGTGCAGAGGTGCGACGGCGGCGCGGCTGGCACGCCCATGCTGGCCGAGCCCTCACCGACGCCCGCCCAGGGCCGTCATCAAATCAACGCCGGAACCCATGCAAGGTGGCCATGGCGGCGATAACCGGCCGCGTGTATAGCATTTTGTATGCACACCGCAAACGGCGTGATGCTTCTGAGATCTGATGCAGATAAATGAATACGAATCTCCGCATCTTTCAAGGAGCTTTTTCTTAAAGCAAGCCTATGAAATCTCACAATGCACGCTCTCTGAATCTCCTAAGAAACTCTCAACTAGTCACTGGTGTAAATAAACATTTCTGTGAATAACTTGAATTCATTTAGTGCTCGAATGCTGGCAATGTATTGGGCACTCACTCTTCTGCAGGCTGGTACGTAGCCTGCAGAAGGGTGAGCTCCATTTCTTTTCAATGCTTGAATTGATGTAACCTATTTCTTTTCTAACAAACGTGCTTTTTTAAAAGTTCTACAACTATCGCAGCACAGACCCGTTTAAATAATCAATGGGCGTACCATCACATCAAAAGCCAGAACGACGAAACACAAGCCCGTATATCCTGACACTAAAAAAGTATAGAAAACTGCGCGCTCGCCTGTCATCAAATTACTTCCACATGCACGGCATAAACAAACAAAGAAACAGTGAAGGCAAACTTCTTCTAACACTGTCAAAATATTAACTTCCAACATTCACCAGCCAAACAATGAAAAAATAGCTCAACTAAGCACGCAAGCAAATGCTAAGAATGCGCGGATGAAAAGGTGCTTTGGCAACGTCACGATTTGATGACAAATACCAAAAACCAACAGACCTAGCGACGGTGGCGCCTACGGCCGCCGGTCGGTACCGACGGCGAGCGCGCCGTGCGCGGTGCAACATAACGGTGATTGTAACAGCAACGTAACTCTTCACTGAGATGCGGGAGCCACGGACCGGGCGTGCGGAAAGAGCGATTCCTTTCAGGTGCTTCCCAACATCGGTGTAACATGTGCATTACCTTTTACTGCCCGTACATGTCACATAAGTTGATGTTGTTCCAGCGAGCACTTGAAAGGAATCGGTCGAGAGAAAGACCTTTCACCGTCACCTCCAAGAATGTTCGCCAAGTTCCCAGTCCAATACTTACACAGCATGCCGAAGGACGTGGTCAAAAGAAAGTCGATGCGCCGTGCCCCGGAAGTGAAAGACGATGGGTTACGTAGAAGTAAGAGAAGTGCTATAGATAACTCGTGTGCATTCCTGCACTATAAGGCCATGTGGTTGTTAGGGTCTTAGTCGGTTGTGCGTGGGGTCTTAGTCGAGGGAAGGCTTGGTCATGGTGAGTTAGAAAGCCATGTTATCGCATATGAACAAATCATAGTTTCATTCAAACACGCTATACTCTATTTCTAGATAGCTATGCAGCCCAAGGTTCAGTCTTGATTTAGACTGAACTGTTTCTTAGAAATGGTGCAATGAGCCCAAGCCCATTGTTTGGCAGAGCACGGCAATGCCACATGACGGAAGTGGGAACAAAGAGTCGTGTTTATGTCGCCTATATGTCACAGGTCAAGGGGTGTGCCCGGCGAGGCTGAGTTCGTCACCACCTTCCCCCGCAGTCGCCCACCGGGAGGCGGTGCGGTTGGGTTTGTCGTCAGCACGCTTTCTAATCCATTCCGGGCGTTGTCCAGAAAATGAAACCGGTCATGGGTCTCCAGCACCTTTGTCCGTCCACGACCAGTCATGCTTTGTCTCGTCACAGCCCGGGAGCCAACCATCTCTCCTCCCCCCCTTCCCACCCCAATGGAATGAGGGGCGTCGTCCTCACAAGGTCTCATATGCCCTTAAGCGGACTCATCCCACCTGTCTGGTCCGGTAAGACATACGGACAGGTGCCCGGCGTTTGACACCGCCGACGTCTGGCAGCTCTCCGTGAAAGCCACGCTGGCAGACCGGAAGCCTTTGCACTTCCTCACGCTGTGCACGAGCAGCGCTGCGTGCAGCTCTCTGTCGGAGCCCGTGAGTGGTACCAATCCCCTCCCCATGCCGTGCTCTGGCCACGACCGGCCACATCTCGTGGCTGGGCGTTCATCCTGGGACCGGGTGGTACCGGCCGCCAAGGCCAGCCGGCCCTGGCGGCCATGGACACAGGTTACATCCTCCCGTGACGCGCTTATCTCACCCTGGCCCGCCGACAGACCGACGGCCGCTGAACGGCTATCGCTCCCTGGCTGCCAGGTTCGGCTAACTGTCTGACCCGCTCAAAATGATTTCCCCGCTGTTGAACACGATTTACAACCTGAAAATCTCGAGTTCACGAAAAATGTCATCAAAGAGTGGAAGGATCAGGATCTTATCATAGGTCAGACGGCGAGATGTCTCGATTGCTACGTCCCGTTTGGGCCTGTATTGAGCATGACTTGTCCCCGGGGGCAGCAGTGCGTCCGTCACACGGAGGAAAATACCGGCCTGGCAACTCGACGCTAGTGCTACCGCAGTGTGAACGATCGCACTCTCCAGCCCAAGATATTTTCGTGTGTTTGCCTGCAGTCTCCCCGGGCATTCCACGCGCCCCGCCAGATCGGCGGCGGCCCAGCCGCTACCCGGCCGTATTTGAACGTTTCCCAGTGATCTGCACGAATATGGCGAGACAGAAATCCTGAGAATCGGAGCATCGGTGATCTAGACTGGGGCTTTCTCCCTGCCTTGCGTGTGCCATATTGTCTGCTGAAATGTCAGGCAACCATTTCCTCTACTACGCACTAAAGAAGACAAGCGCGGTGTACCAAAAAGTATTCTATTTCCACACATGTGTTGACAGTACAGACGCAGTAACACGCCACATTCGCTGCATACGCCTAACGGCTGCATTCACAGGAACCATGTCTGAGGACGGCGAAGGGAGCGGACGTTCACACTCGTACTCACGTGAGCCGCACGGCGGTCCTCCGGTGCCCAGGGAGTTGGCCTGGCCCGACCCCACCTTCCGACCCTGAAACCATGAAAAGCAACAGTACACGGATAGTGGACGGTGTTGGCAATGAACAGGGTATTGCACATGCATCATTGAGGCTTGCAGGGGCGGGAGCGATCCCGGCGACAAACGGCCGCGGCTGGCGCTCCTGCCCCCGAGCAGCATGCGCGGACAACAAGGCGGCGAGCGTGCTTGTGTGCATGAGACACGTGGTGCTGGGATGGGGAGAGAAGAGCGGTCAAGGCAGTCAGACACTGTCCTCCAGGATGGATACAACGCGGTAGGTTCTTAATCGAGATGTCCGTGTTCCTGAGTGCGTGCCCGTGACATTGGGGCCAGGCCTCCCGAGCCGACGCTTCGGCTGCACCTCAAATGTCCTGTATACGGCATTCACATGTTGCTACGGATTGCGATTAGCCACATTTTCAATTGAAACCTCGGGCTGTCATGGGATAATGAATGAAGGCCATCCTCAACTACTTGAGACCCGGGCAGGCATGTCCCCTTCGGCACCGTGTCGACACAGGCCACTGTGTCGCAGTCAGCAACTCTTCTGCCCCCATGTCTGCCCGGCCATGAGCGTTGAGGACGGCACCATCCGGCTAGCAGAGCGACGCGGCGCGCCTGGCATGCAGGGCCGGCGACCTGCCGCAGCGCGGTGTTCTCGGCGGCCAGCGGCGACCGAGCCGGCGCCGCCGATGGGCAGAGCGCCGGAGAAAAACAGTCTGGACAATGTCCGTGCATACTGGATGGGCCGGAAAGTGGGCCGCGCCGGACAGGTTCTGCCGCCGACCTGGCGGGGTCAGGCGGCGGCACGCCGATCCGCTAGCCTACATTCGGCCCGGCCGGCCGTCTGCAGGCCGGCCGGGCGGGTCAGCAGCGCGCGCAGAGCGCGCCACGGCTGCCAACGACGCGGCACGACGCAGACATGAACAGACTGCCACCGGGGCGACCAGACTGCCATCGGCACAGCCAGACTGCCGTCGGCGCGGCCAGACTGCTACCTGGCGCGGTCAGACTGCCACCGGGGCGACCAGACCGCCGCCGGCGCGACCAGACTGCCATCAGCATGGTCAGACTGCCGCCGGCGCGGCCAGACTGCCGTTACACACGGCCAGACCTCCGCTGTCGCTTCTCAGACGGCCGTGGTCGCGTCTGACAGGAGGCGCACCGGCACAGAGGGCACACTTCTGACAGGAGGCGCACCGGCACAGAGGGCACACTTCTGACAGGAGGCGCACCGGCACAGAGGGCACACTTCTGGCAGGAGGCGCACCGGCACAGAGGGCACACTTCTGGCAGGAGGCGCACCGGCACAGAGGGCACACTTCTGACAGGAGGCGCACCGGCACAGAGGGCACACTTCTGGCAGGAGGCGCACCGGCACAGAGGGCACACTTCTGACAGGAGGCGCACCGGCACAGAGGGCACACTTCTGACAGGAGGCGCACCGGCACAGAGGGCACACTTCTGGCAGGAGGCGCACCGGCACAGAGGGCACACTTCTGACAGGAGGTGCACCGGCACAGAGGGCACACCTCGGACCGGACTGGCCTCCGATGACCGGGTGGTGCTCGGTCATGCATGGACTTCGGCCCGGGACCGGTGAGACGTGAGGTGCTTTGCCGGTACGGGTAACGCTGCCATGGCCCATGCTACGCTATCCATCTCTCACTGTCCGCAACGAGGCTGGCTCTTGAAATAGTGTTAGTTACAAATGAGCCATGTCGTGATGCCTCACAAACGGGCTCTCAGCTTGAGACGCGAATATCTGATTTGGCGTTGTCAGACGATGATCACGCGAGCAGCCAAGTGCGGCGAACGGAAAGAGCTTAAAAAACGGAGTTGCTTAAAGCGGCTTTGCGAGCCTGTTATTCTTATCCATTTGTTGGACATGTTGCTGTCATTTATTGCTTTAAGAAAAGAATTGCAAAAGATGTGTGATCCCACGCAGGGCAGTAAAATGACGAGGCGTGTTATGCAGAAGATGTTGCACCGCGGCGCTATGACAAATAGCTTTGAGCTGTAAGGTACAGCCGAAGCACAAGCTGGCCTCACGAGACATTGATGCGTTGGGTTTTCTTTCAATATAAACTGTAGGCAAGGCATGGAACGTACGGCAGCTTGGGTGCAAAGCCAGCCGTGACAGCTATCAATGCGTAACACGTAAATTTTTGCACATGTACTGAAGCAGCACACACTCAACCACCAGGATCAACAGGTATTGTTCACCTTTGGATAAGGAACGAGGACCACGGGTCATGCGGGGACACCAGTGACCGCTGCACACGTGTCTGCAGGCTGCGACAGCAGAGCAACACCTGCTGTAGCAGCCAGCAGACACACACCCTCGCCGCGCCTGGCGCCCGAGCCCGCTGGCAGCCTATGTTGACGGCGGCGGCGGCGGCGGCGGCAGCGGCCCTTACCAGGATGCCCTGCTGCGGGGAGGCCGCAGCCAACGCCAGCGAGACGAGCAGCACCACCAGCCTCATGTTTCTCTGTTCACGGCACGAGCGCGACTGCCTGTCCGTGGCCGACGCGACTGCCCACCTGCGCGCGCTCTCACTGACCCAGAACCGGCGCAGCACCGCCCCCCGTGCCCGGCGGCGCCGGCCGTGGCCGCGCGCCGCCTGGTACAGGACAGGCTCCTCTCCGGGCCCACCGCGGCGGCATTCCTCCCGTGCCGTCTGCGGAGATGCTTTGTGTGACAAGCGTCACGTGACGCCGTGCAGCGAGTCACGCGTGACCACCCCCTCCTGAGCGCTGGCATCCGAACGTCGCACTGGAATAAACAGTGCTTCATAAAGGAATTTGGTTTTGGGGGCCACCAGTGTGATGAACAACTGGACTATCTAAACTTGTCATAATGCAAAACAAAAAAAAGGTAGTCATGCCTTGCATCGGATAGCTTGTAACTATGCCCTTAATTACTGAATTCTTGTGACATATGTTAGTATATTCGAGAACAAGTTTGAGAGAATATATAGCTTCGCGATAAACGAAACGTTCTCCTGAACTAAATGTCACATAAGTGGACCGAAATAGCTGCCCTTCTCTCGCATGAAGCGCATTGCCAGTCATATTAACTGATTTTGTCTTCTGAAACGGCCGTCATGATCATGTCGCGGGAGATGGCAATGTTGTGGCAAATTGCCGTCCTTCTCATAATCCGTAGGCTCTCGAGTTGAATGCAACCACCGCGATGTCTTTATTCCGTCGTCACCAATCATGACACGTAGTCATCATCTGGCATGGGCAGGGGGCATGACCACGACTTCAGCCCTCGTGCGAACGTGGCGATCGCCTGCGTGGCGGTGCACTCCTCGCCCAATAGCGCCCCACGGCCGGCGATCATCCGGGGTCGAGCCGCTCAATATCGTCAGGACATTTGTCCAGCACGACCTGCAACTTGCACGCAAAGCACACATGATGATTACCTTTTATTTACTACTGGCAATCAACGTCGTTTCATAAGTGATCTATTCGCTGTTTGGAAGTTTTCTAAGTGCCGTGCTTTCACTTTGCCGAGTGAAAATGTGCTCACCCGATGCCCTTGGAGATGCATTCCGAAATATGTGATAGCCCAGTGGATTATTCCCAGTTCCCAGCTACAATTGAGCCCAGTTGGTGACCGGTTCTTAATTTGCACTACCACACCACAAATACCTATGCGTCATATGGACTTCCAGTTGACACGTCGCATATCATCCGTCACTGATTTGCGAATCAAAGAGCTCAGATGTCCACGGTGGTGCACACACTGCGCTTTTTATGTTATGTGATAGCGCAAAGCCCCTTGGCGAAGATGACAGCCTGGGAATTCGTTTCCCGTACCTGGCCATGGTTGTTTCTGGCGACCTCGTCTTTTACACGAGTGTGTTGATCATTCTGGGATTCCGACGCAGTGATGCTTTCAGGGCTGTGGGTATAAAGAGATTAGACCATATGAAGGTCGCACGGAGGCCTGGCTATGTAAAGAAGACGCCAGGCTAATGTAATTGCCTTCCAATGTCATCGGCATTCGAAGCCACTGCTTTCTCTGCCAGCGGTTTGCCATCGACTTGACTTCGGCCTCGACGCTAGTGACTTGGCTCGAAGACATGCCTTCGCCTTCGCAAAGACGTGCCCGGGATCTAGTTCCCAGGCTGGAACGCTTTAAACGCTCACTGATTCGGTCATCTCAGAGAGAAGTCACAAAACAGCTAACATCTCCCTGGTTCACGTTGTGTTTGTCGCGCCAGACGGGTGGTATGTGATGGGTTTAGAAGAGGGCCACCGACCAGTACCTGAGCGAACACAATACGTGGCAAAGCGTCGGTAGTTCCCAAGTAGAGCTTTCCGAGAAAACCTTGACCATGCAGCATGTGTGGTGCTAATGCATCATTTCAACTCACAACACGCTGTCACAATACTGGCGCGGTGAGCAGACACCAGACGAAAATGTGATCGATCGAATACTGACTTCGTTTTTATCGATCATTTCTGCAAAGGAAGCAAGCATTTTTGCGACAATTTCAATATTTCAGAGGGCTCACTGCAATTCGCAGAACAGTCGCATTCTCAGCCCTCTGCTGCAGGCTGTACACGGTATGTGTGTTGCGGCCGCGAATCATGCCCACCGTCATCAAAGACGCGGCATTGTCAGACCCAGGTGTGCTTCATGTGCACACACTGCGGCCGGCGGAGGATGGGCGCATTTTTTGCCGAGCGTCGCGCCGACTCTGAATCCCACGGGAAGGCTTACCTTCAAAGACGTTGCGGATGTTGACCAGCGCAGGGCATGGGAGCTGGCGTCCGAGCACCATCTGCTGCAGCTGCAGACGGCCATGGCTGCCGGCCGAGACGCTCCGCGGCGGCGGCTCGCTTCCGCGTTTAAGCGGTCGTATGATAGTCGCTGGTAATCACGCAGGTCTGGCCGAGGTGTGGAGGTGCAGGCCTTGACACTGGGCCAGACGGGTGGGGGAAATGTCATCTTGCTCGTGATGTATAGAGTGGCGTGAGCTGACTCAGTAAAAGACTGCACGGAAAATGACGTCATTGGCCAATTTTACCATAACCCATTCATGATGGCACTGAGAAGGACTCCTTTGTTTAACTAACGCACCTCAAATTGTTAGACGTGCGCTGCGGTCATATTTCGAGGCCTTCAACTTCTCACGTAAGAAACTGATTGAGCATCTCGTAAGTTGGATAATCAATCTCCCTAATGCACCGGCTGCTATGTGGCCAGTGTTTTTCCCCGCGTCAGATGCGCCCGGAGCGCAGCTATGTGAGTGGACGCAATCAGAGCGATCCCCATCGCAGATGGCGTGTCCGACCTTGACCATGGCCTTCACCGGCTGCGCGCTCGTCCGTCGCGTCACCCAGCTGTCCGAATCGGAGCCGACGGCACCGCCCCGGGCCGCAGCGGGCCGTCACACTCCGCCGACCACACCCGACCCCCTCGCGCTGGCGCCGGTGGGTGCGCTGTGGGCGGGGAGGGGGCGCAGCCGGGCCACGGCGGCGGTCACGGCGTTCTGGGGCGCGGCCGGCGGTCGCAAACGAGACGGTGACGTGTCACGTCAGCGCCCAGACTCACGCAAACGTTCAGTAGGCGCACAGCCACAGGCTCCCGAGTCGTCGTCATTATGTGACACATCCGGTGCCGTGGGCTATAATTCGCAACGACGCGTCGCATTGAGGGATGCGTTTGTGGCGGCGCGCAGCTGTTCGTGGTTGCCTGTGTCTCACTGGGCTGGCACGGGGCCGTAACGGCAGGCTGTGCCGGCCGCTGCCCCGCCCGCCGCTACATTTCAGATGTGAAAACGGGGCTAAGCGGCCGCAAAAGGTGGTGAGTATCTCCACATATATGGACAGACGGCTATCCGTTTTACCATGCCCGGAGGCGACAGTCCAGTGGCGGCGGCGGCAGCTCACCCCGCGCCCCACGTAGGTGAGAAATGCTGCACTGAAAATATGGTAAGAATACGCTGTCAAACGAGTGTCAACGACAAGATTGCCTGTGGGTTCACTAAGCGAGTTAGAGCCGGACAGCGCACAGCGCTATGGGAGCTCCGGATAGCGCGCTGCCAACTGAGAATGTGTCCGACTTCGTAGACAAACCGCCAGCTGGCCCCAGGAGAGCGTAAAGACTATCATCAAACATGGTGATTTATTACATCATCTGATGCTGTCAGAACATGAACATCATATACACTCACACTGCGCGGGTCAATATCGTCACTTTTCCGAGAAAGGGGATGATTAAGCTCAGTACAACGTTCCTTGCTATACCCTTGCTATAGAAAGGGAGTCATAACGTTGAGTAGTAGACATGCTAAACACATGGATCTTTTGGTCTCTGGTCTGTTTTCATGA